CCGTCCGAGTTGTTAATAGTGAAATAGGCAACTAAATAAGAATTTATAAATTCCTCAAAAAAAAAACTTGATAATATTAGTGCTTAATAAATTTAATAAGATAGTGTATAAAAAAATTAATGCATTACCAAATATTTTAATTTGAACAATACAATTGCTCAGCATGCGTCGACTAGAAACGTTCCGGTGAATTCAGATCGTCTTAATTTAAAAATAAAAAGGCGTAATTAATTAATATTTTATATACATATATGAATTGATGATTTAAAACCGGGGCATTTTTCAAGTGTACTTGAGGTGGTAAGCTACAACTTCTGGAATGAAAGTGGTGTATGTAGATATTCAGTTTTGACATTTATTTTTATTTGTTGTTTATAAAGGGTTCGTAAGTCACAAAAATGTTTATTAAACCAAAAATATTTAAATTTCAACTTTGATAGAAACCTTTTTTCACAATGTTGCCGATGGAAAGTTTCTGACTAAGTATTGATTAGTATAAAAATCTTCATTTCATCGTAAATAAAATTTTAGTCGGACTACTTCAATAAAATAATTTCTGTACACACTTGCTACTTACCTTTTAAAGCGGAGTATTGAGCTTTTCATAAATTGGCAAACACAAAAATAACCATGTGAAAAACACGTTAAATAAAGCATAATTTAAGTAAGATCACGACGTCAATTTGTTTGGTCAAAATTTTGAAAATAAAAAAGATGTACTTTTTTTTTTATAAAATTTAATGTCGTCTTTGTAATTGTAAAGCAAGAAACTATGCAAACTTTAAGCTCTTAATTTTTTCGTTTTAAAGAAGGTTAAGACAATGTAGTATGCACGAGTCATTGAAACCGAGGAAAAATTTGTAATTCTCAATGAAAGCTTTTCTACTACACACATAGATAAACATAATATTCATATTTAAACTGTATAGGTACTTATTTAGTAATTATTAGTGTCACTTTATGATTAGTTAAAGCCTATTGATGTAATCAGCGAATGTTTAAAAAGTATTACTGTAAAGATATTTAGAAAAAAAAGTACTGCTTAGGATACCCAAAGCTCTACCTTTTTAAGTAAAAATAATTAGAAAAGCCTTCCACGGGTGGTAAAGGGGAGATTTATTNGAAACTTGAGCCCGCATTTATTAAAAATAACAGATTAACATTTACAGAATTTTGTTTGTCATTTATTTAAATTTCTAAGAGCAGCACATCCGTACTATCTGTAGGTCAAAGCTAAAGTGCTGGACCATCCGCTACTACTAATAAAGAATCCTTTCAATAGCCTACTAATACTCAGGTGTGCGATCTCATATTTTTGTACTTTTAAGAAATTTAGATATTTTCTGTTCAAATAGAATAGTAACGTTATACTCATCATTGAATAACAGATTGAATACTTAATAATATTGTTAATTACATTAAAACATTTGAAGTGAATTACAGGATTACATTTTGTCTTTAATTTTACCTACTGTATTTACATAATGTATGTGTATATTTGTGTATATTCTAACGTGTATTGATAAAATCAATGCAAATGTGCAGAGGTTATTGGGACATCTAAGTTAAAGAACGTCTCGAACACTTTCTCTTTCTGAGGCAAACCGTTTGCGGTATCAGAATTCATATACAAAGGTGCATTTACCATTATTAGAGATGACTTCGTCCTAATTGCCTAGATATGTGTGGACAAAACATTCAACATAGGTACGATTAAAATGTACCGGTTTGGTTACAATTCCGTTCGGATTTCGAATCGTTTTTTGTTTAATAAATCGAATATATCGAATTATTTGCTTTTTCTTCGAATTTTTTCCTACTTAACTTTTAACTTTTTAATTTATTCATGATCTATAACCAACTAAAAAACAATAATTCGTATAAGAAACTAATAATCCGAAAAAAAAAAACGAATAATTCCATACTCTTGAATTAATATTATTATTCGATTCGTTTCGCCAGTAGTTACTATTATATCTAAATAAAAATTTAAAAGTATTCTTTCTTTGATTCCCTTTTATTATTATAGTTGTATTAACATTTAAATTACTTCCAGAGTGGGTAAAGCAATCAATTAGAATCTCACTATAAAAAAAAAAACGAAAAGACACACAAGTGATCCTTCAAGGGTTCCGTTTTTTTATAATTTAATAAAACTAAAACAAAAATACTGGTATGGAAGGGAACAAAAAGTAGGGGAAGAGCGAATATAAAGATAGGGGACGAAAGATTAAAAGAAGTGGCTGATTTTAGATGTCTAGGAAGTCGAATAAGTGAGGAAGGAAGGAGGAGTAGGGATATAAAGCAGAGGATAGCGCAGGGTGGAGTCGTTTTCAATAAAAAGAAGTTAAGCTTGAGACCCTTACAACAATCCCTTTCATTTGATATGTCACACAGTACAGTTTGCAAACTTTTTCTTTAAATTTTCTGTTGACCCTACAAAAATGTCCCACATGTACAAAATTTATTTACGTGTTTGGAAATTGTTAGAAGCTTTCGAAATGTGGCGTTATAGGCGAATGATGCGGATAACGTGGGTAGAAAAGGTTAGAAGTGAATAGGTATTAGAAAGAATAGAAGAACAAAGGACTCTATGGAAGTCAATAAAAAATAGGCGAGATAGGTTGGTAGGGCACCTTCTCAGGCATGAAGGTCTAGTCAGAGACATATTAGAGGCAGAAACAGGAGTTAGGAGGGGTAGAGGCAGACTTAGGTTAGATTACTGTTCGCAAATAGTTAAGGATGTGGGTTGTTCTAGTTTTAGGGAAATGCGAGGATTAGCTCAGGACAGGAAAGAGTGGAGGTGCTTGTCCAACCAGTCTTAGGACTGACGACCTTATGATGATGGCGTGTTTGGGTTACAGAAATTCATATGTGTACTAAATTTTAACTTAATCGGTCCAGTAGATTGCGACCAAATTGATTGTTACAGATGGACAGACAGACACACGATCCGTCCTATAAGGATTCCTTTTTCATTCGGACGTACGGAAAAAAAGCGATTGAAAGTACAAATTAAAAAATATTTTAAAGAAAAAACATTGAAATAGTAATATGTTTGAAGAAGTTAAGGCGTTTGATTTAGAAAAGCTGAATTTATAAAAAACTGTTGTCTCACGAGATTAACATCTGAAAATTTACATGACAGTTACATGAAAGTAATAATAGAATTCAAGAAAATCAAAAATTAAACGGTTGTAAGACAATATGTTAAAATTTTACTACTCCAATGTTTCCATTGATTTCAAAAAAAGCATTAAAATTAACGAAAGTCGCAATATATATTATACTCTGTATAAATATTCTTGACGGTAACCATTTAATTGGGAATATTGTTTCGGAAAAGTTTCAATATGCAAATGCAATAGTTTCGGAATGCGAAAACTGTCTCATGAAGGACGAAGCACCCGAAAAAGCTTCCTGGTTTTAATAAAATTGTACTTGATCAGTTATGCAGACGTTGTAAAAATTTAAAATAAAAACTAAACTATTTAAATTAGTTCGAAACAGTTAAGGAAATTCGTAAAGATGTTTACGATTTGGAAACTTCTAATGACATAATTTTCTGGTATTTTTATGAAGAACACGCAGGAATCTATGCAAACAATTCATATTAATAAAATACACTTAAAAAGGTTACTTTCGAAAACTATCCTTGGCTAGTCAAGGAGGTTTGTAGAAAACTTTAGGTATTTTTAATTCAGCTTACTTGATATGGTGACCACGTACGCTTCATAGGTACAATAAATTACAATCGCGCCTTTTTATCGATCATTTCCCATAATTACAACATTCTAACATGTCAAGTATCTATAAAAATTCTTAAACGTTCCAACCGGCTTGTTTTTCTTAAATTAAAACGCTATTATCCTTTTCGCTTTGTCTATTACGTTATTGATATCATACGAGCATACATAATTTCTTAATTTTGACCACATAATTGAATATTTAGATTGTTGCCATTATTATCGAGATTTTTAGCGTTGGCTTGGATGGTAATGTGGGATTATTAAAAACTGACGTTGCATCAGAGTTGTCCGCTGTATTATTATGTAGTGTAACTTAAATAAATTTTATGGGCGGTGTGGGGGTGGCGGGTTAGAAATAATTTCTACTTATGTACATATATCCTTTTAATAAAAAAGGTTGCGTCAGTAACTACCGTAGTTTGTTGAATTTCAAATTAAATTTGTATAAGGGTGTGCGGTGAAATTGATGAAAATTCACTGGACAATTTTTATTTTACTTATTTATTCTCATTCTGAAATTTTCACGGTAAATTCTCGGCTTCTTCAGGAGAACTGTAACAGTTTTACAAGATGAAGTTGTAATAATAATAATAGGATAGAAATGAGGAGGTATTACAAAGATTAGGAGAACAGGGTTACTATGGAAGTCAATAAGAAACAGGTGAGATAGGACACGAAGGGTTAATTAGAGACATATTAGTAGCAGAAACAGGAGTTAATAGGAGTAGAGATAGACCTAGATTTGATTACTGTTCACAAATAGTTAAGGATATGAGATGTTTTAGTTTTAGGGAAATGCAAAGATTAAGAAAATTAGCTCAGGATAAGGAAAAAGTGGTCGTGCGTATCCAAACAATTTTACAACTGACGACCTTATGATGATAATGATAACGTTGATTTACTTATTTAACATTTTGACTTTCTGATGTATTACAGAAACCACGTTGAATTTTAACCTAATATTTACTATTTCTCATTAAAAATGTTGTAAACTTAAATCAAAAAATGTAAAAATTTTTGTATTGAGTGATTTTTTTTTTAACTTACTTTACACTTTCGTAAGTAATTACAATTACTATTACGACTTCATTCTGNATTTTAATTTTCCGATTAGTATGAATGCAGTACTAAAACGTGTAAAATTCACAATAAAAGCACTTGCACTTAATCCAAAAATCGTATTGCACGGTTATTTTTGCGTGTTGCTCATCCCTTATATTTTAATCACTTACGCATGCGCGTAGGACCTACCATTGTGATTATTATACACTTCACTGTGCCATCACTAAATACGATTAAACTATTGATATGTATGGGTTCCCCATGTCTCTTATATAATAATGACGAAGGTAAGCCAGTTACGAAATTTCCCTCCTACATCAGCTGCACATCTTCAATGATAGTCCCCGTGATAACATACCAGCCAACAGCTATACATAATACATATACCTATGTACCTAGTAGTATTTAGACACTTAATATATGTAATATTGTAAGTTTAGATTTAGATTTTCCAAATTATTTAAATGCATCCGTACGTGGACATAAACTAAATTATTTATTATTGAAGGCCAATAAACTGGATATTAAGGATGTTTCTATGTGTAATAAGACTATATTTTTTTGTAAATAATAAAAATTAAAGAGCCTACTTTTGTGAACTGTTCGGAAAGGTCAGGTTAGAAATGTCATAACAATCTGCTTTGAAAAAGACGCAAGTTGATGATCGTGTGAACGGACGGCTGAATTGCACAAGCTGAAATCGTTTCTTAGTAGTTTATGTACAGATTCAGGAATTGATAAATTCGCAAGTACGCAAATATAAGATTTCTAGAGAGAAGAAAGGAGAGGGACCTCAGTAGATAGTAGTAGAATTCTTAGTCCCCACTTTATTAATTTCTTTGTGCGATAATTCTGCAGAGAAAGGATATTCGTTGTTTAAAAAATTTTTGGGTTCCCCACCGAAAAATCGTCTTCTTAGTCTGTGCGTTCGAACAGTAAAAAACACCGATCAAGTCCGAATTGGACTCATGCACCGAGGGTTCCGTACAAACTTGTAAATATAAGATAAGATTTTTCCCACTTTTTCCGAGTATGCTTTTAGACAGCTCTCCAAACGTACAATCACAATATTACAATTAAAAAATTATTTTTTTTGTGATGTAACTCAAAATTTACGATTTACGAATTATTTCCTTTACTTGTGCTCTAAGACTGGGGTGACCAACAAGTCGATCGCGATCGATCGGTTGATCGCGAAGCCAATTTTGATCGCAATACCTGAGGTGGAAATCCGGAAATCTTGAAAAAGTGTAGGTACCGCATGTATGGAATGCTGCTATCAAAATTTTGGCCTGGAAATTTATTTTCTTCTTGAGACTATATCTAGAACATTTAATGAGTGATTTAAAAAATAAAAAATAGTTTTGAACATATATTTTACCTATCTATCCATACATCCATACGGAATGCCCCTTATACCGAAACATAGTATGCATTTTCCACTCTTTCTTTCCGCTTAGCCTATGCCTATGATAACAAGTCATTTGCGACACACTTTTAAGAAATAAAGTAGATCTCGTATACAGAAAAGTTGACCACCCATGCTCTAGGACAGTGTTTCCCAACCTTTTTTTCCTCGCGAACCAAAAGAAAGGTCCGAAAGAGTTTGGCCGAGAGTTGTGTCCTTTCTTTTTTGGCCTAGTGCTGTTCTTTTCTACTTTGCGCCGATCAAACTGAAGGTCACATCGCTACTGAAACTAAACGAAGTATAGTCATCCTTTAAAAAAAATATCGACACGCTGGAAACTGTTCAGTCATTATTAGACTTGAAAGAAGAAGAAGACGAAACATAAAGCAAATAAACAAAAAAACATTGTTATATTTCATTATTAGAAAAATTGTTTTGCAATAAGAGGTAACTTTGAAAATAAAAAGAATACTTCTATGTTTAAATTATTACCTTAAAATCTTAATTAAGTGTGTTACTTTTACATAATTTTAATTTCAGTCTGACGCCTTTTTAATAAAACAAAGCTATATAAAAAGTTTTAAAGTTAAATGTGTGTAGGAGCAAAAGAAAACAAGATAGATACTATTTCTAACCATTTAAAATTTCAAACGGAACTATATCTGACTCATTAATTTTAAATGTTGGCATATCTTACATATTTATGCTAATTATTTATTAACTGCTGGTCCCGATTACTGAATTTTAAATTATACAGAATCTGTGTTAAGAATAAATAATTTTGATTGTCAAGATAGATATTAACCAAAGAAAAGGTTACCCAAAATTATTGCAGTAGGTATAAAAAGTGGATGGATAATCCAAAAAATGCCAAATGAGGTTGGTGAAATCGAAGTGTTATAAACTATAGCAGCGAGTATTACAAATACGTTATTTGAGATGACCATTAAAACAAGTAATTTAATGTTTCCAAATAGGCGCGTGTATAAAGCGGGGGAGAGTGATCCAGGGCCACCTCATCTTCTGACAAGTTATGAAAATAATGTTAGTTAAAATGAAGTAAACGTAAAAAAAAATTAAGAGAGACTTTTTTACGAGAGAATATAGAGAAAATCTGAAAAAAAGTGCGTGAAACAGGCGGAAAAGGTACAGAGGAATACTACGTTAGAATGGTACAGGTCTGATGAAGGAAGCTGGCGAGCGGTCGCGCAGGTACTTGCCCATTTATGACCTATTTGGGTAAGTCACTTGGAGCTGATACACAAATAAGCTTTCAGTAGGCGTAAATTATACTATTAATACACATAGGACAGTAGCGTACTAGAAAATAATGTAAAAGCATGACTTATCAAAAAGAAAAAATTAACTTGTTTTATAGTTAGTTTTCACATTCACTCTCATCATGGGAATCTCTATCACTGTCAACAATTAGTTCTTCTGTTTGTCTGTCTATTACTTGCTCACTGATCCCTATTTTTAAATATTTAATCTACGCCACTGATAGGAATACTGAAGAATGAGGGCTGCAATCTTGATACCTAAAACTGCCTACTTTTGCCACCGCGCATCCACGCCATTTTAAAATTTCCGCCAGCTTCCAGCGTCAGGCCTGTACATAAATAGAAAACGCAACCTGTAGACGTTCACCGAGCGGCATGGCCTAGAGGTCTAGACCATTGCTTAGCATTCGGGAGAACGCCGGTTCGATTCCGGGTCCGTCTGCCTTGGTCCCAGTTTTTCTGTGGTTTCCTTGGATCACTTAGGCAAATGCTGAGGCAGTAATATTCCTCAGATAATCTTTAATTCTCTTCTGTCTTCATTTCGTCCGTCTCATCTTTCTCACCTGAACCACCATCCACCCATTCCCACGATTCCTGAAAGCAGCCTACCTTCCGGCATAGTCCGGAGGGACTGCCCACCCACCAGCATTACTGGCTGGTGGGAATGAAACACCCAAAAGTTTTTTAAAGTTTTTTGTGTAGACGTTCTTCAAAGGAGGCGAGCGCTGTGGAAAAGAAGAAGTTAAGAAACGTTAAAAAATACTGTGAATTAGAAGGAAATAGACGGTAGGCTCTTCCACATGAAGGGCTTGTGAGAGACACATTAAAAGCACAACTACGAGGTCTGTTCAAAAACTATCGCGAATTTTGTATTTCCGCGGATTTTATTTATGTTGGTATTTATGGCTCTCACTTATATCGACAAGTTCGGCCATGTTGCATGTTCAGTTAATTTTTGACAGATCCTTTATTTGCAAATTTTGTGTGAAAACAAAATTAAGCGCGCGGACACATTTCGAACGTTGACTATGGCGTATGGTGAAGCTACCTTGGACCGAAGCAACGTTTATCGATGGTACAAAATGTTCTCAGAGGGCCGAAATGTGAACGACGAAGAGCGTGCCGGACACCCGGGCACGTCAAGAACAGAGAAAAACATTGATGAAGTAAAGAAAATAATATTGTCCAATCGTCGAATCACCGTTAGAGAAGTTGCTGATGACTTAAACATATCGATTGGAACCTGCCATTCGATTTTTATCAATGATTTGGGCATGAGACAGGTCGCCGCGAAATTCATACTAAAACTGTTCAATTTCGACCAAAAACAGCATCGCATTAACATTGCTAAGGAGTAGTTGGATTTTTTCCGCGACGGCCCAAATTTGCTGCAGAGGGTCATAATTGGTGATGAGTTATGGGTTTATGGTTATGACGTAGAAATCAAAGTTCAATCATCTCAATAGAAGCTGCTGCATGAGCCAAGACCGTAAAAAGCGCGCCGTGTTAGGTCGAATGTGAAGGGTTTACTTACAGTTTTCTTCTATTGTAGACCGAGCGGCATGGTCTAGAGGTTTAGACCATTGCTTAGCATTCGGGAGGACGCCGGTTCGATTCCGGGTCCGTCTGCCTTGGTCCATGTTTTTCTGTGGTTTCCTTGGATCACTGAGGCAAATGCTGAGGCAGTAATATTCCACAGATAATCTTTCACTCACTTCTGTCTTCATTTAGTCCGTCTCAACTTTCTCACCCGAACCACCACCCACCCATTCCCACGATTCCTGAAAGCAAGCTGAAGAGGGCCTTCCGCCCTACTTTCCGGCGTACCAGTATTACTGGCTGGTGGGAATGAAACACCCAAAAGTTTTTTTTTTTTTATTGCAGGGGTGTGGTGCATAATGAATTCTTACTACAGGATAGAGCGGTTAATAAGGAATATTACCTGCAAGTTATGCGCAATTTGCGCGAAGCAATCCACCAGAAACGCCCGGATTTGTAGAAGAACAAAAATTGACTTTTACATTGTAACGCCCGTGCTCACACATCGTTGCTTGTGCGCGAATTTTAGGCTAAAAACAACACACTAATAATGCCGCAGTCACCGTACTTCCGAGATCTTGCCTCCTGTGACTTTTTCTTGTTCCAAAACTGAAGAGGTCCAAGAAAGGACGACGCTACGCTACGATCGAGGAGATAAATATGGCATCGAAGGAGGAGCTGAACAAGATCACAAAAAATGATTTTTTGAAGTGGTTCGAGAATTGGACAAAACGTTGGCACAAGAGTATAATATCTGGTGGGGATTACTTTGAAGGGGGCAAAGCAGATATTCATGAATAAATAAATAATTCGCGATACTTTTTGAACAGGCCTCGTTCAGATTAGACCAGTGTTAGCAAATAGTTACAGATTTACTTTACTCTAGAAAGAAGTGGAGGTGGGTGTTCAGCCAGTCTTCAGCTGAATGCTAAATTTACCTTCCTAGTATTACGACCTTTTATTAGCGCATTTACTTGATAGTAAGTTTAAACTGAAGGGTC